ATGGAAGCAGATACAAATGGTGTAAGTCCGGTAGACTTTAGTTAACCCTGTAAAATACATAAATTTGTTTTTCCTTTCGTTTTCCATCTATTTTATTGTTGTGTTGTTTGGTGATTGCACCGTTATGTAGGATGTAAGTATTTACCTGGCTAAACTAATTGTCTTTTTCTAAATGTAATGTAACTAAATTAGCATGCATACCTGGCTCAAAATCCAAAATTATAATAGCATGGGTGGTCTAAACAAATTCACTTGCATATAATTACATTTATATGTGTTAAAAATTAAATTAAATTAAACTTATCATTACAAAAAAAAAATAAATAAAAACATAATTAACTACGCAGTTCTTCTTAACTAAAAAAATTTGAAAATTTTAATCTCGACGAATGTAAAATTAGAATTTCCAAATAAGCAAGTGAATTAGTCCTCAACCACATATGTATGTACACACATACATTTTTGAAAATTCATTATTTTAAAAAAACTTCCCAGTCTGCAAAATAACAAATAAAGTAAGTCCCGCAAGAAGTTGTTGTTTTTTATCTTTTTAACGATAAGCCTTTCGTGTTCGATTCTTTACTCCTGTTTTGTGTGGGATGGCTAGAGTTTTAAGACCTCCTGATTTACCTTTCCCTAGAAGGACTACTCGAAGTTCTGCTAATACAGTTTCCAAAAGTAAAATTAAAAAGCCCTCCCTGAAAGCCTTTATTTAAAAGCGCACTTCATTTTGCCGGCTGGTTTGTTTTATTCATACAAATTCATACACAGACACATACATATTTACACATTGTTGTTGTATTTGACTTTAATAAAATTTATGATTCTTTAACCTTTATTTTAAAACAAATATTTGCAGTCGGAGACGTCTGGCGACTACAAAAATGCCTTAACTGCACTGCTGGGCGGAGCTTAATCGGTGTTGAAATTTCCACAAAATTTTCGAAATATGTAATAAAAAAAATGAAAATAGTCCATCGATTCTGATGCAATATACGTACATATGTAGATGCAACGCACGTGCCTAATATGCAATTGTTATGCAGATAAAGTATTTATTATTTAAAAAAAAGTATAACTGTAAGCATGTCTTTTTGTTGCAAATAAATGTATTTTAACTGGCATTCAAATTTTGTTATCCCTTTTACCTTTTGTTATAAACTAGCCAATACGCAGTTTACTATAGCTGTGGTGCTCTATTGCTTTTACTAATATAGTTATTGGTGTAATAAAATCTTTGAATAATATTTTTAAGTCCAACTACATATGGTCCCAGAACCTAAACAGCCGTTATAGGGTGGAAGCGAGCGTTTCCGGTTCTATCGTGATTCGTTCTACAAACGAAGTACATATTACTAAATAATTCGGCAAACGTTAAATGGAATTTCATCAAAGAAATGTGGAATTAATTTAGAATCTCACCTATCAGAAAAGGTTTTTATAAACTTCAACAATCTGTCCACAAGAACCGAAAATCAAATGACCCGGCTAAAGCCCACCACTTACAAATTTTTGTTAGATATTGTTAGAAACTGTCTACCCTCCTAAATATAATTAAAAAACATGTAAGAAAGTCTAAGTTCGGGCGGAGCCGAAAATTAAATATCCGGCGCAAATTTACCGTTATATGAAAAGCGGCCGTAATTTTAGTCCGATTTCAATAATTTTCAACGTTTTGCTTTTATGTGGCAAGCACAATAACAATACCGAGTTTGGTACTAATTGGTAGAACGGTTACCAAGATACATATATGTGATCATAAGTGGGCGGTGCCACGCCCATTTTCCAAAATTTTATCATAAATGCATTTCTTGATAAAGAGTTGTTGCAAGCATCAATTTGAATAAATTTGCTTTAATATTTACTGATTTATCGAAAATTTTGTATTTCTCTAAATTACCGTTATATGAGATGTGGGCGTGGTTATTGTCCGATTTTAAAAATTTTGAAGAAATTGGTGCAGCGGTTACCAAGATATACGCATGGCTTGGCTACGCCCATTTTCAAAAATTTGTAATATTCTTATTTTTCGTCTAAAATTTATTGCAAAATATCAGTTTGAGTGAATAATCTTCAGTGGTTACTAAAATATCGCAGTTTTCGTATTTCTGAAAATTACCGTTTTATGGGAAGTGGGCGTGGTTACAGTCCGATTTCGCCCATTTTCAATACCAACCTACCTTGGATGAATGGAAACCTACATACCAAATTTCGTTGAGATATCTAAATTTTTGCTCGAGTTATCGTGTACGCGGATGGACGGACAGACAGACATGGCTTAATCGACTTCTCTATTCATTCTGAGCATTTTGGTATACATTTGACTATATCTATCTCGATTCGTTTTGGCTGTTACAAACAACCGTTATGTGAACAAAGTTAATATACCCTTGTGCACAAGTGCGCTCGGATATAATAAACAAATCTCTTCCGTCTGATATTGTGATACCTACATATTTCATGGGCCTGATGAATTAAGTTAAATTTGATTTTTAAATACGTTGCAACGCTCCTAAATACAGTTCAGAAATAAAGCCTTTTAAGTTTTACCTTTACCTTTTTAGACGGGTGGCAACCACCAGTTGTTCATCAGGAGCGCTTCGAATCTATACGATCCACAAGCAGTTATATTTCCGGAGCTGATTTTTCAGTTAGCTCACTTTAGATCTAGGTGTGCGGTATATAAAATCAATTCCATAATTACGGAGGAGGGCTGCCACCTATAAAAATTTAAATTCAACTTAAATTAAGGGAATTATTTATTTGAAAATTGTACATTTTACAATATGTGTATCAGACGGAAGAGTTTTAAAAGGTTTTAGTTTGAATTTTGAAAAGAGTTGCCGTCTGTTGGGAAAGTAAAATTTAAATTAATTACTTGCGAGCTATATAAAAAGTTAAAATGTGGTTATCAAACGAAAGACTGTTCAAAAATCTTTAATTTGAACATTTAGAACATTATTAAGGTGTTTTAAAGGGTTTAGGTACCAATCGAAATGGATTTAAAAATGCTTTTTCTTAACTACAAGCAGGAGGGTTCCCACCTGTTTAAAAAGTCAAATTCATCATAAAATGGATACCGTATGAAAGAAGCTCAATAAGGTTGTAGTTTGAAAATATTTTTAATAGGGTTGCCCCCCGCTGGAAAAGTCGAATTTAATTAAATTATACACAAGTCAAAGTGTCAAACGCAGTAGGAAATGTAGGGCATCGAGCTTTATCTCTGCCGCTCGCCAGGATGTGTAAACAAATCTTCAGGAAATACCTTTTAGATTGTTTAGCCGATCGAAAATCAGTGAACTTTCTCGAAGTTTTGTGTTATACAAAGCTCATTCCGATTTCAATTTCTAAATGAAGGAAAGAAACCAATATTTCTGAAGAAAGTAATTAACTTTAACTGCAAATACCTGTTAAAATCAAAGATTTTTAGATCATGGAAAATATTTTTTTTCGATTAAGAATAATCGTTAAATTTTAATTTTTTCGATAAAACTTAATCGTTGTTTTAGATATTTTCCTATCATTTTTAACCATTATGTAGGAGACTGCGTTTTTACGAGCGTATGATATAATTATAATTTATGATATAAAAAAATGTTCTCCTAAAATAACGGTTATAAGCAGGTCGAAGAAATAAAAATAAAAAATAATAATAAAATTATAAAATAACGATTATTCTTGATCGAAAAAAATAAAATTTTAAAATAGCAGTTAAATTGCATCGGAAAAATATAAATCCAATTTTAACGGTTAAATTAGGGCTTTTATTATACAGTATTTTGGTTCCGTGCTTTAAAGTGCTTCACGGACCTGAGTATGAACTTTTGTACTGGTTTTCCGTAACAAGTTAACAATTTTCAAATGTGTTATTCGCTTTATTGCTCGTCTTCTTTGTCAAATTCGAGCTAAGCTACTTATGTATAATTAATTACCAAATTCTTAAACACCATAAGAGACAAGTAGACAACTGGGAAGATTGCCCTATAATTTCAGAGAGTTAGATGTGTAATAATTGCATTTTTAACAACAATTCACAAGCACACACATAAAAACATGCATAAGCATATGCTTATGTATATA